TTCATCCTATACTATTTATATTCGAAGGTAAGAAGTTCAATTATCCGTAAATTTAGTGTGCCGATCAAAACCACGGTGTCAATCAAACAAACTATCTTAGAGGAGACATTGAACTACATGATATCCATTCGCCCACTTCTTTTCGTAAGTTAAATCTTTATTCTCAAAATTCTATTTTTTCCCCTTGTTCTAATGTAAAATAAAAATTCATAGTTCTATAAAAGAAGCAACAAAAGCCTCAACAAAAAAATAAAAAAAGTAAGAGTTTGAACCTATAATGGGTTTTTCATTTTGGTTAGTATTGTTTGAGTTTAAATAGAACATAAAACGATAGATTGATCAAAAATTACAACCACCCAAACATACTTCTAATTCAATTCTCATTGAATGCCATCCAAGATTTACTAACAAACAAGGGTGATGGGCCGACAACTGTGTAGAAGCCATTCAAGGGTAGCCAAGCAAGGAAAAGTGTAATTCAAAGAAGATGTTTAAGTACCTTGGTAGTGATGCTAGGTTATTTTATATTACATTATTTTGTTAATATACAATTTCTATATTATGCTCCTTGATCCTCTGAATTTTCACAGTATGTGTTTTTCTTTCTTTTGGGGTCTGATTGTATGCTTACTATCCGCCAATCATGTTGCATATCTGTCTATGGGTACTTTATAACTTTTGAAATTAGAGATTTTCTGAAATCATTATAGGTAAATTAAGTAATTGGATTATCATAAAATTCTAAAAAAGAAAATAAAAGAATATAAACACTAGATTGCTCCAATCAGCCTTTGGTTTGAGCTTACTATACTAGATTTTTCTTATAAATAGTTGGGCATACTATATTTAATGAGTTAATTTATCAAAAACGCATAGTCCTAATTAATTGATGTTTGCACTTGCATGATTTGGTCAAGGAGTAGCTATTTGATGAAAGAAATAAAAACTGAATCTGTTTAATTCATCTAAACTTTAACCTCGAAAATAAATTAATTGTGTTGCAAATTCTACAATTATAAAATTTTGCAATTCGTTTGGTGTTGTTCGAGATTCTTAGGTTGAACAACTTGAATATGTATTACATCAGAGATAACTCTCTTTCTCAGACTATACATGCATGGGTTCATAATGTCTCTCTTGAGCATGTTCCTAACTTTTTGTATAGTCCATAAATAGAGCTTTTGTCTTAATTATCTTTTATCATGAGGATAAATATGTCATGGGTTCATAACGTCTCTCCCTTGAGCATGTTTCAAACTTCATGTATATAGCTAGCTATACAAGAGGACAAAACAATTTTATTTTAGCATATATTTTCGTGATTTTCTTTTAAAAATTGATTATTAATTGATCAATTCTCAAATTTTTATTATTTGATATATAAAATAGTTCACGTGCAACGCACATATGCATAAACAAATAACTTCAAATTTATATGTCAAAAATTATAATTTATATTTACACTACTTCTAAATATCAAGAAAAGTGAAAAATATTTGTTAGACCAAAATAATCTTAACAAACTAACTAATGTCTAATGGTCTATCCTATTTTTCTGTAATTAATAACGTTATTACATCATAAGAATTGTCACAATTATTTTGTTGTTGGCTNACTGTCTCTTATCTGTTCTTATGTACATTCTATGTACATTCTAAGTGTTTGACTGTGATTAAGCGTAGGATCTTAGTGTCATCACGAGGCAGAAATTTGGTGCAAAATTTAACCCCGTAACAACTACCATATGTCAGTTGAGATATCCATTAATCCGGTGGGCTCTGGGCCATCTAACCAGGCCATGGGTAATATAATGTTTTTTTAATGTTTTTTTATGGCAATTCATGCCACATAATTTTAAGAAAATATTATTTAAATTTAATTTAATAATCGAATCCAAAACACTAATATTAACATGCATGTAGTACGCACATATAGGTAGCAACATATGAGAGAGAGAGAGAGAGAGAGAGAGCGAGAGAGAGAGAGAGAGGGGGGGGGGATTACCATTTCCTTTTCTCGATTCATGAGAGAAGTTAAGAAGCTATAGCTCTCCTCTACATTTATTCGGTGATGACCGTAACATAACAGCGTTAATCTCAATTCCATCTTTCTAGATGAACATTATAACCGTCACTTGACTGGCAGGATGTTCAGCCATCCTCCACCTAACTCCAAACCCTCCCTGTCGTCGGGCCCAGCGAAAAAAATAAACAGACCCTCTGTGCTACGATGGCAGTGGGCCTTGGAGTTTGTTGGAACCCACCACCAAATCCACGGTCCACAAGCAATGCCACCGAGCAAGGTGCATCCTTTAGCACCCTCTGATTAACTTCTCTCCAGCTATGGCCCAGATTGGCCACTTCATCATCACCGTTAGTTTTTTTCCACTGCCTGTGAAACGGCAACATTATCATAGCAACAAGAAGATATTCATTACAGCAGTAATATCACGTGGTAAGGTGATATGATATTATTGATCAATAATAATAAAATAAATAAATTGATTGATCCCACAAAAATCAATAACTAACCTGTAAGGAAATAACGCCCCACTCTTCTGCCATGTAAACTCAAATAGAGTTCACTTTTTTCAATTAGAGTTTTATTATTGGTTATTGATACCATATCATCAATAATGACATGACATCACCGTTGTATTCAATATTTACTCCATTGCAACGCTCTTATCAGGAGATGTCGTGGCGAGCTGGTTTGTAGATAGCCAGCACTGTTGGAGTTGTCTTGAAGGTGGTGAAGAGTGCCATGAGGACTAATATTACAAACACTTCGTCATTAAGGACCTGTCAATCAATTGAAACTCTCATCAATCAATTTTTAAGGTTTTTAATATCAGTAAAAAAATATGAAAATGAAACTAAATTTTCAGGTGTTTTACACCACACGCGCGCGGACAGACACACACTCATATAAATAGATATAGATATAAATGAAATTAAAATTTCAGCGTTTTTTTTTTTGTGAAATTAACATTACACACACTTCATATTGGTAAAGGCAAGATCTGTAGAAGCTTTTTTTTCGTAGAGAGAGTTGGGGTCCACTTCGCTGGTGAAGGTATTTTTTGCCCTCGTCTCTATTTTTTGATTCGATTTTGATTTTTTTTTTTGATTTTACAAAAGTCATAGATTTTTCGATCAATAAAAATAATCAAAAAATAAGTAATACTCTTGTATTTTCACTCATCCGACCATGTGTTTTAGGCCAGATCAAAAAGACAAATTATAAAATTCATATGAGTTTGAGATTCCTAAAGTGATGCTAATTAGTACAATCATTATTTAAAGTGATTTGAGATAAATGGGAAAAAGAAAGAATAAAGCAAGAAAAGTAAGAAAAAGATGAGCAGTAGGCATATTCTGTGCCCCCACAAGAGAGGACAAGAAAGATAATTCAACTTTTATCAGGAGTGAACAAAACGTGAGGGACCCAAGTCTGTTATTCACCCACCCACTCACCTATTTTTCTAAGATGAAATTACAGTCAATTTCATGCTTTATAGTAGAATCTAGATTTCTTGGTCCTTGGTCTGTGGAGAGGCCTATTATTTTTACTAGACTGTAATTGATCGTGACAAAAATAAATAGTAAAATGATAAAATAAATAGACTTTTCAAGATAATAAAACTTGTACTGAAAATTTATTTTTCGATAGCAGATTTAGTAATGGACTTTGTTCTTCTACTATAGAGAGATGCCCCAGACCCCATGGCCTTTATTATTGACATGTACCTTTTGATTTATTCACATTGAAAGATTTGAGATTGAAGTTACAATTGATGAAATGAATTTGGTTAACTTTGTTTTATTTTATATCTATTCAAGACTTAGGAGTGGCCCAGCTGAAATCTACTCAGTTTTACATCAAACATCAAGAGTGACTTACAACACTGTTATTTAAGGGCAAAAAGCTATAAAATTAGACTTCACTAGAAAAGGGTTGTCACAGTAGGTCTCTTTTTGAAAAGGTGAACATTCATGTCGATCTTTGTTAGAATATCTACACATTAGTCGTACGTAAGACGATTATTAAAGAGGTGACAGTTACTAAAGATGTTTCAAAAAGTGCTACAGATAAAAGTGTCATGTCCTAAGCTTTCTTGCATAGTGAAATGTCAAGAATATTATTTTTGACATATCCTTAAAGGTATGTTATTTAAGGAGAAAAAGTTATAAAATTAGACTTAGTGTGGTTACAAATGTGAATATTGATGTCGGTCTTTGTTAGAGTCGTACATAAGATGATTACTAAAGAGGTGGTATATTGAACGTAAAAAAAAAAAAGAAATTGAATAAAAATGTATTGTAGGACACGTGGATGATAACATTGCACCAAATTGTGCCCTCAATTATAAATGTGATTGAAATATTACTACCTCAACGTCGTTTAATAAGACGGAATTCTCAATAAATTACTTTTCTTTTGTAAAATTTTTTTAAAAAAAATGAAATTTCCTAAAGTCAACATGGAAAAAACGTGTAAACTATTGGTAACAAGGTAGAAATATTGCTATTAAAATGGGGATAAATCTTACACATAAAAACGAGAAAAAAAAACAAATAAAGAAATTGAGGCCGACAATGAATTAACATTTCATGCGTGGATTGAAATATACTCAAATCTATAATATAAAACAAAGCAGGTTTCAATAAGTCCATTTGACGGTCTCAAATAAATTAATCAAACGGTCATCAACATCTCTCTCAAAACTATTCACATTATCCCGCATCTTTAAGTACGAGTTATTCTCAGTAATCAATAACTTGCATCGTATCTATATAATAAAGTACAATACAATTCAAATCTCAAAAGATAAACAAAATGATTTTTGTTTTTCAATATTGAGATCATTTTAAATTTTACTTTAAAGTTAATCTAATGACTAATATTAACACCTTAAATTTAATATAAAAAATAGACTCCTAAAAGTGTATTTAGAATAATTTTTTTAAAAATTACTTATAGGAATTATTTCTCATAAGTACTTTTAAAAAAATAGTATTTGAAACCGCCCTACTACTACCTCTAACACTACCATCCCAATTGCTCCACCACTGCCACCACCACCGTCACTGCCACCACCGTCGCCACCGCCGCCACAGCACCACCACCTTCGTAGTCTCCGCCTCCTTCGCCGCCACCACGGTCATTGTCATCCACTACAACCATCACCGTCTTCTACCACCACCACTATCGCCCATCACCTTTCACCCCCACTACAACTGATGCTTAAATTTATTTATTTCTTCTCTATATTTGTGATTTGAATTTGAATATGAATAAAAATATATTTTTTATTTTTTATTTTTTATTACTCGGTGCCTTCAAACACATGCAATAACTAGTTCTTTTATATATTTGGGTCAAAAATGGGTAAATCCCAATCAAAACCGGTAAAATATGACATAATACACTGCTACTCGGTTTTTTATAATCAGTAAAAAATCATTGTTCAACTAATTGAATTTGAATTCAAATCGAAGCTATGCAGTGGAAGTTACCAAAAATCAAAACAAAATGCAGAAATGCATACAACATACCTTCTTCTCTTTTCCAATGTTGAGAACAACGAGCTCTACCAATCCTTTAGTATTCATCAGCACACCAAGCGTCAAGGACTCTCTTACCGGTATCCTACACAAAGTCGCCACCACAAACGTCCCGATAATTTTTATGCTGCATGCCGCTCACCAAAATTAATCCCTCTAAAATTAGAGAAAAAATGGATGAAAAATTAATTATTTGTATTGAAATATATCTTATTTGTCTATATATCTTTTTATATATGCATATATATTATGTATACATTAATTTTATATATAAATATAATAACAAAATATGTATTTATAATTTTTTCTAAAAATATTTTTAAAAAAATTTTCATCTTATCAAGCACAAAAAAAAATTAATCATTTTTATTTTTCATCAATTCTAACAAACACAAAACAAAGAAAATATATCATTTTTACTTTACTTACTTGGAAGATAGAAAGTGTATCTCTCTTATTTTCCATCCTTTCTATCAAACAGAACATTTTAGAAAGAAAGTTAATCTATTCACTTTTCTATATTTTCTATTTTTGTTCCTTACTAAGCATGATGTTTTATCTATCCTTCTAACTTTTCATTTTTCCAATTTTTCATCGTACCAAACAAAGTATAATGCTTTCAAATCTTTCCTACTGTTAGGAACAAGTGGTATTTTCAATAAATATCACAATATTTATTGCTACTTCTCTAGTCTTACATTAAATTGTAACCTCAAACAAAAATGAAAATGAACTACGGGAGCTTATTGGGCGATGACAATGTTTAGCCACCACTGTTGTTCAGCATCCTTATATAATTAAACAAAAATGTTAAAGGAATCAAGTCGTGTTAAAATTTAGTAAATTATATTCAATTCATTAATTAAGTCATTGTGTTTATTTTTTTAGATTTGAATTATAAGTTACTTTATTATATAGATATTCAATTCACTTATCATTTTCATTCACTTTATTATATAGATGTAGACTAGGTATTGTCTGTGCCTGAA